AATAATAATAATAGTACCAATAATAATAGGAATATAAACAACAATATAATATTATTATTAATAATATAATAATAATAATAATATAATAATAATAATAATAATAATAATAATAAAAATACTACTACTAATAATAATGATAATAATAATAATAATAAAAAAATAATAATAATAATACTATGATGATAATGATAATAATAATAATAATAATAACAATAATAATAATAATAATAATAATAAAAATACTACTACTAATAATAATGATAATAATAATAATAATAAAAATAATAGTAATAATAATAATAATAATAATAATAATAATAATACTATGATGATAATAATAATAATAATAATAATAATAATAATAATAATAACAACAATACTACTACTACTACTACTACTAATAATAATAATAATAATAATAATAATAATAATAATAATACTGTGATGATAACGATAATAAAATAATAATAATAATATAATAATAATAATAATAATAATAATAATAATACTATGATGATAACGATAATAAAATAATAATAGTATAATAATAATAATAATAATAATAATAAAAATACTACTACTAATAATAATGATAATAATAATAATAATAATAATAATAAATAATAATAATAATAATAATACTATGATGATAATAATAATAATAATAATAATAATAATAATAATAATAATAATAACAATAATAATAATAATAATAAAAATACTACTACTAATAATAATGATAATAATAATAATAAAAATAATAATAATAATAATAATAATAATAATAATAATAATAATAATAATACTATGATGATAACAATAATAATAATAATAATAATAATAATAATAATAATAATAATAATAATAATAACAACAATACTACTACTACTACTACTACTACTAATAATAATAATAATAATAATACTGTGATGATAACGATAATAAAATAATAATAATAATAATAATAATAATAATAATAATAATAATAATAATAATAATAATAATAATACTATGATGATAACGATAATAAAATAATAATAATATAATAATAATAATAATCAATATCAGAGTTATTTCTTAAGAATCATGCGACTCTGAAAACTGGAGTAATGAAGCTGAAAATTCATCATAAAACTGGAATCAATGGAATAAAATATTAAATTATAAACTACTTTTGAACACTTATTTTATAGTGCAATAACATTTTAGAATTTTACAATGCGTCCTGTGCTTATGATTAAATAAATGCAGCTTTGGTGAGCAGACGCTTATTTCAAAACATTTAAAAATCATACGGACTCCAAACTGACGGTAATATATATATATATATATATATCCATCCATCTATATTTTTTCTTCCTCTCACTCGTTTCTACAGCAGTAATATTGAGTGTACCCGCAGCATTAGTATCGAGCAGTCACCTGATATAGGCTTTTTCTCAGTGGCCAATGAATCAATGCCCGATATAATATTGATAGTTTTGGACCAGACACACGAGGAAGCAAACCCTGTTTTTCAGCCAAGCGTGCACGACTACAAGCCAATGGAAAATACATTAACACGACATAAACCAGTAAATAAAAAAAAAGCTCCAGCAATACACCAAGCTGGAGAGCGAAAACAATCCAAATCAATTAATTTTCTGGCATTTGATTACATAGTAAGAGTGGAAATTCATTTCCAGTAAACATCAGGTGCAGAAAAGCTTGTCTGTTACGCTCTGAAATGCCATACACGCGCACACACAGGTAGACGGATTAAAGGTTGCTGCGGGGTGAAGTCGTTCTGTCTAGTCGTGCTCTCTATTACATTTCCCTCCGATTCAAATGGCAATTCACGGCTCGCATTCACTTTCCCTCATCATCACGCACAACGTGCATGGACAGAGGCCACGTTATAAGTGATAAGGGGAGGAAAACATAATAAAATATAATATCAGAGGCAATAATGCAATTACTGAGAATAATGGAGAGTAGAGGCTGTGGGAACGACCAATAGAGTGAGAGGACGAAGAGTGAAACCAAAGACTTATATAAATGGGGAGGAGTGCAATGCTCAGTATGGCAAAAAAAGTCCCGCCTTTTGGCTGAAACACCCAATTGTCAGTCTTTATACTCTGTGGGGGAGGGGTCTGTACAGATTTGCTTGTTCATTATGGTAAGTTCTGCTGTTTGGTGAATATTTTCGCAATAAAGCACTTAGCGACACATTAGTGTCGTGCCAATCATTGCCCAAACACAGTAGCTAGAGCAAAGTGGAAATGACATGTTTAAATGCAATTACAGCTTAAGAAACAATTGTAATGGGACCGCTCACTTCAGATTTTGTTGCTGATTAGAAATATGTCATTTAATTGTGTACAGTGGGAAACTTTTGAGATTTGAGGATTCTCCCATTCAACTGGATAGGGGGTTAGTCTTACCCCCGGTCTCCACTTTCATGCACTACACCTCTCCATCCTCGGGTAACATGCCGGATTTGTTACCCAGATCTGTTCCACAACCTTACAATTAAGCTCTGCTCTTAAGCCTCCTTTCCACTGCACACGACAAGCGGCAGACCGGAAGTCATTCATTACCAATGGAGACTAGTCCAGGAGCAGCGTAGTCCGACTGTCCAAACTCGTGTCCTGCATAGCTTAGCTCCAACTCCCTTCAACACGCCTCCCTGAAAGTTTCTAGTACATCTAGAATGAGCTTGATTAGCTAATTCAGGTGTGTTTAAATGTGGTTGGACCTAAATTCTGCAGGACACCGGCCCTCCAGAGTTTGGACACCCCTGCACTAAAGCGTATGCGACCGGCCGACCGGACGTGATGCATTTCAGCGTTGCCCAAGCAGGTCCATGCGCGCAAGATGAGAGATCTGCATTAGAAAAAGTCTATATTAAAGCACACATGAGTAATAAAAATATGATTATTTTATGTTGTCTCCACCTTCCCTCCAATATTTTTTTGCGGTCTATAAGGTTCTAGTATTCATTCATTCAACCATGGCGAACACACAGGGAATAAAGGCTCTTGCACTCCTTTATTTCAAACACTGCGAGAACAGTTTCTCTCCCATGGTGCACGACAACACTGAAAATACTGTGCGACTGCCACAAGGGGGCGTATTCTGACAGTCATGTCCAAATGTGTGCAGTGGAAAGGCGGCTTTAGATAAACGTTTAGCAGCAGTAAGAACACTGGTGTCATGCCAATCACTGCACAAACGCAGTAGCTAGAGCAAACTGAAATGACGGGTTTTAAATGCAATTACAGCTAAAGCAACGATTGCAATGGGACCGGTCACTTCAGATCTTGTTGCTGAGGAGAAATATATAATCAGATTGTGCATTTAGTGAGATTTCAGGATTCCCCCATTCATTTAGTTGCAAACAGACTGTGATTTTGGTGAAACCCAAGCAACACTCAAAGAAGAGAAAGACCTTGTGATTGTGCTGATGTGCAGAAATGCAGCTTTATCATGAATGATGAAATGAGTCTCCTTCATACCTGCTTGTATCTGCGCTGCCTTCAGCTCTGCGCAGGCTGTCTCATTTCATCTGTGCGAGAGGTCTGCGTATTGACAGTCCAGCAGAACATCTCACAAACTCAATCTGACATTTCACTCAGAAAGACTGGAAAAGCAATGAAAGTTTGCTTCTCAGACGATCGACTACAGGTTTTCAAGGCTGACGCTGTACTTTGAAATCAAAAGTCTAGATATGATATTCCGTATACAGTGCACAACATAAACGAGGACTCAAGGAATCTTTTCATTGATTTTTTAGAAAATACAGACAATATTTGTTTAACAAAATTGTTTTATTAAACTGTCACGTTGATTAACATAAGAGTGTGGTCACATAACATCTTTAGGAAGAGAAAGATAAGGCATTTAAATGTAAATGGGTATAAAATTATGAGTTTTAATTTTAAGGTTTTTTTAAGTTGTGTGTTGGATTAGTTCCAGTGTTGTCTTTAATACAGACTAATCCAATGTATATGCTCAGTTGTATTATAAATAAATAACCCAATAAAGGTTAAAAATAACCCAAAAAACACCAAATATTTAACCCAACTGGTTAAGTTATTGATAAATAACCCAATAAAGCATAAATATTTTTAACTCAGCAGTTGGGTTAAATAAATAACTCAATGTTGTTTCGAGTGTGTAAAGCAGGGGTGTCCACACTCAGTCCTGAAGGGTTGGTGTCCTGGAGAGTTTAGCTCCAACCCTAATCAAACACACCTGAACAAGCTAATCAAGCTCTCACAAGGTATACTAGAAACTTCCGGGCAGGTGTGTTGAAGCAAGTTGGAGCTTAAGTCAGCAGGACACCGGCCCTCCAGGACCGACTTTGGACACCCCTGGTGTAAAGCAACCTATAGAAAGTGGCTGTTTCTCAATTCCAAGAACGCAGAGAACAGACTTGTGTTCTTTTGGAGAGCGGTCTTGCCAGGTGTCCTCGGAAGAACGAACTCAGGAGACCGCGAGGGCAGAGAACGCGTCCTTTGAGAATTGAGATGCTGCGTTCTTCCTGATGGTCACGTGACCTTCACGTCTTTTAAATGGTAAATTATTTAAACATTACAGCCTTCATACAACGATTTATTGTTTTTCCCCTTTTCAAAATATATATTTTGCATAAAAACATTATAAATCTATGTTGCACAATATAAATAAAACAGATTTTAATACGAATTTCAGCAAACAAACACCCTTAATGTGTTTATTCCTTTATTAAGATGTTCATGGTGATGTTTACTTTCACCGTTTCATTTAGGGAAACTTCTGAGGTCAATAAGTGATATCTCTGAACTTATAATAACTAATAACTAATAATAAATCTAGATAAAATGCTGCACTTCCCACCTCCAGTCGCAATGACTTCTGGGACTTCCAGAGCGAGTTCGGTGCTCAAGTCTGCATCCTCGATATCAAGATCACATCCGGGAAGTTTCACGCGTCCTCCGTACTTGCGGTCTTGAGTATTGGAACTGAACTTGGGCAGCTGATGATGACGTTGCACGAGAACACGAGGACGCAAGACCGCTGAAGAACGCATAATGAGAAACAGCCTGTATCTGTAGAAGGGGTGTACTCATTTACACAGGTTACTGTAGGTGCTCCACATTCATTTCAATATCCTTACTGGATGACAACTATTGACTCATTCATGTTTATTTTTTATACCTCTCAAAAGAAACAGCTGATACTTTTAGCGAAACGTAACCGAGAACAGCATTTATTCCCCCGAGCTATGACAGAGCAACCTCTGAGCAATGAAATGCTCCACTGCTGTCTTCAGTTTCAGGAAGGAAATCTCTCAAGAACTAACAATGGCACGGATGAACTGTGGAGACAATGCCGTCTCTCTTCAACAGTTTCCACCTCTGTGTGTTAATTGAGAAGACAAACGCAATCACAAAAAAAAATCCGGGCGAGCTGGATAGATCATATTTGCGTTATGTGTTGTTTATTGGTAATGAACGACTACAAGCGTAATTCACTTCAATATAATTCCAGTTCACCTGGGGAATCTCGAATTTACCCTGCAGCTGTCTCCATCTCACCACACACACACACACACACACACACATTCTTTGGACTTGGCACTCGCAAGAGGAGATAAACTCCACAAATAAACACACACACAATGATAGAGCGAGCACTGCTGACAGGAAATGCCTCCAAACACCAGGCCAGTTGAAAATAAAACTAAATAAAGGCCAATTCTATGCAAATGCCGTGGCAAAAATGCCGTTTTTACCAAAATTGTGAATCCCTTTCCACATTTTTGTGTAGGCTTGTATTTTACAATACTAAAAAAAATACTCAAAAATGTCTCTGTCAATGTTTTCACTAGGGCTGGGCGATTCATCGAAAAAAGCTATAATCGAAAATGACCTTCAGATCCTATAATGGACCAAGTTTTCCCCGGTCGATTATTTTCTTTACAAGCACGCATATGAAAGTCTAATTACTGTTTCGATGACACATAGCGCAAGCTCTGTGATTGGTCGGTTTGGTAGCGTTGACAAGCATGGGCGGCGCGGAGAGCCGCAGGACAGCAGAGAGCCCGTTGGAGCGAGTGTTTACAAGTGTGAAGTCCTGTGAATGAGCTCAAGATATAAACTTTTTGTTTTGTGTTTACCTTATGATTAAAGTTGTTGCACGTTCGCCAGTTCCCACCTCCGAATGAGCGAATTTTAGCTGCTTGTACATTAAGGTAGCATTCAGATAAAACAAAACCCCCATGAAGAAACTCGACACACCTCTCTGCCAGCAAGCGTTATAACAATCCTTATAATTATTCAAATAAAAATAATTAGGTGAATGATATTAATGATATGACGTAGTTCCTGAAACTTCCTACTTCTCGGTTTATCCATTCTCTGTTTCTTTTGATCACCCCCTGTCGTTTTAAATAATATCATATCGGCGAACGCGGCAAGTATAAAAGCCTCATGCGTTTTGGTGAGGTGCACGCGCAGTCAGCAGAGGTGCACCAGGCGAAAGTATAAATCCAGCTTTACTTTGCACTACATTAACGATGACTGAAAGTCTCACCAGAGATGCTGTGAGACGCATATTTTCCATTACATAAAAATTATTATTTATATAAAAGTATTTGTTTACAGAAGATGCAAGAAAAGCACAATTTAAAATATTATTTACTACTATTATTTACTTTATTATTCTCTACTTTTAATATGAAAAAACATTGCCAAAGTTATTTATTTTCACATTTTATAAAAAAGAAACTGACTGTTGGTTTCAGGCAATGTGTGTTTTAATTTCACTTGTTCAATATTGATGTTCAATAAACAATCACAGATAGTAGATGTGTGTGTTTCCTTCAATTATTTTAAAATCAAGCAATGCACCCTACACTCAAAAATCTCTGACTTGTAATATGTGAGCATATCTTCAGTGAGCAAAACTTGTCAGTGAACTATGGGGGCCAAAAAAATAAAAATAAAAAATAAAAAATAAAAATAAATAAATAAATAAATAAATAAATAAATAAATAAATAAATCGTTTATTTATCAAAATCGAGTTCAAATGTTCAATTAATCGAGATTTTGGTTTATATTTGGATTTTCAGTCCTAGTTTTCGCACAATTATATTTGATTTACCAAAGTCACACAAGTGCCAATTCCACATCTGTCACATCCATAATCAAGCTTTTTCCTCATAAATGCAAAAATGTTTTTTTTTTTTAAATCAAAATATCAAAAACTTTCAAGGATGTAAGATTATGATGACCATTAAACGCGTCATAACGAAAGAGAAAAGAGTCCATACAAAGCGTGAAGGAACGTCTAAGAAAGGGCCGCCTGCCCTCTATTGTTCTGAGAAAAGAGCCTCTTTCATGTGGCCCCGGGGCCTCCACTGGATCCTGCTCTTTCCTCCAGCAGCTGGGGTGCAGGCGGGCCCCAGAGCTCCACCAGAAACACCACTCGGCAGCTGATTTTCTCATGCCAACTGTTGGCTGTTGGTTAATACCATGAGTGAAGAGTCTGGCCCCCGCCGGCCCCAGCTAACCCCTCTCCCGCTGGGCAAATGAAAGCCTGTGTGCGCTGTAGGCTGGATGTTTCACTGCCACACCGCAGGGGCCGTTCCTGCATTCAGACCAGGCCCAGGGCAAGTCATCCGTCTTTGGGGTAACGGGGGATCTCTCTCTCTCTCTGTCTCTTCCTGAGCGGCCGGTCTGGAATGCACTTCCCTGCAGTGTGGGTTGAAAGCCTTCTTATCACTCCCCCATCATCAGGGTTTATTTAATAACTATCACAATAAAGTCAACACCAGGTCTGGGTAAGAGGCCTCTCCAGACTCAAGCAGTGTGATGAATTCAACTCTGGCTCATACGTGAACAGGCCTATGCTTATATGTTAACGTATTACTGTAGATTGTGTTGACAAATACACTAGAGAGCGCTGTGTTCATTTTTTTACGAATCTCAAATAGATTACTGAGCTACTTTTTTTCATTTGTGCCCTTTTCAAGTCCTTCTCATGAACATTTGTAAGAAGTCTGGGCTTGTCGTGCATATCAACTTGCAATTGATTGACCCACACTCATCGCTAAACCCAACCGATAGTGTTTTCAACAGCAAATGAGAAGTGAATTTGTATTTTTTACCACGATTTCACACTGCTATTTTACCTGTTTTCAGGAATGTCCCCAAAATCAAATCCCACTCTGCATCTCAAATGCAACAGTGTACAAGGTAAGCTACCGAGCATACTGACTGTGCCGGAAAAGTCGTCAATATGGAGATATTCATTAACCAATCACAGATGCATTTAAATAGTTCTTGTGGTATTTATTCAGTGCTGCTAAATTTAAAGAATAGCAATCGTTTATCTGTCCACGATACTCAGTATTCTTTGACTCAGTGCTTGATTTATGAGGGGTCGCCAGAGTGAAATGAACCACCAATTACTCTGGCATGTTTTTTTGTAGCGGATGTCCTTCCAGTAACCTAGCACTGAGAGCACACTAACTCATGAACCCCTAGAAAACTGTCGACAATATGTCCAAGTAAATATAACTAGTGCAAACAGAAACAAGTTGTCAGCGTCACACCACTCTAAAGCATTCATTTTACCCAGAAACTGCAGACAACTGCTGAAAAAAGTAACCCTGGGCACGTATTTCCAATGAGCTTGTGTTGGATGAATTGAACTCATCAGGCAAGCCAGCTGCCCCGGAGGTTAGCGGACTGCCCCTGCTAGCTCTCAGGCCATGCTTGGACTAAGAAACCAGGACAGGAGGGGCACATTTGTGATGGCATGCCAGAGCGCACACTGGGCCGATAGAATCGGGCCAATATTTTCACAGTGGCGACCCTGAGCAAGAGCCAGCGCTGCTGCCAGCGACATGCAGAGCAATATGGACACACTTGCGCATGTGTTCTGGACCATCTTCCCCCATTCATGATTCAAGAGACAGCATAACGGCCGCTTGTGCTGAAATACGGCTCGGGTAATGGAGCCTTCATTTCTCTAGCATTATCTATGTGCTGGCGGGAGTCTAAAGCGGCCGAGAGCTCGTTCCTCATCCTTATCTGCGCTCCTTAAAAAGATGTAGGTGCCATAATCACCGTGGTCTCCTACTGCTGATGTCTGCTGGCCAGCACATAACGACCTCGGAAATGAGCAATAACCGGTGAAAGATGGCTTCTGAAAAAGAGCCCTTGATTTGCCCATCATTTGCGAAAGCGTGCAAGTGTGATTCATTAAAACGGAAATCAGGAGAGCTCACCAATACACCGAGGCCCAAATGCAGCTACCTAGCTAGCCTCTCCAGACTCAAGAGGCGTGACGAATTCAACCCAGGCGCATTGGGAATACGTGAACAGGACTACTTTTTTTGCGTATATTGAAATATCTTGCTTTCCTGATGTTTCTTTACTAATTGTGTTGACAGATACACTAGAGGGCGCTGTCTACATCTTTGCTGAATCTCAAATATGTTACTGGGTATATGTTTTTTCATTTATGCCATTTTCACATCCTTCTCATGGAAATCTGAAGGACACTGGGGCTTGTCATGTTTATTTATTATAACAACCTCGGAAATGAGCAATAAGCGGTGAAAAATGGTTTCTGAAAAAGAGCCCCTCATTTGCCCGTAATTCGTGAAAGTGCGATTAATTAAAAAGGAAATCAGGTTCACAAATAGGCCAATGCACAAATGCAGCTACCCACCCAATATCCAAGTGGTGTAATGAATTCGACCCAGGCTCATTGGGAATACGTGAGCAGGGCTATGTTTTTCCGAATATTGAAATATCTTGCTCTGGCGACGTTTCCTTGCAGATTGTGTTAACATACACTAGAGGGCGCAGTGTACATTTTTGTGAAGCTGAAATGTGTTACTGGCAGGGGCGCCGCTGGCTGGTACCCAATGACAACATTCTGGTGGGGGCTGTCGCAGACAAAAGTGAAGAAAACCATGTGCGCCCCCCAAAGGCACACATGGTTACAGGGTAATATTTTTTAATTTGTGTCATTTTAACATCCTTCTCAGGCAAATAATGGGAAGTGCATCACAGTGCAATTGACTGACCCATCGCTAAACCCAAACGATAGTGTTCTCAAAAGCATACTATACGATACAAATGCATTGTAGATTTACTACAATTTCACACTGCTTTTTAACCTGTTTTCTGGAATGTTCCCAGAATTGTACCCTGTACCACTCTGTGTCAAATATCATGATGACCTCGGAAATGAGCAACAACCAGTGAAAACTAGCTTCTAAAAAAGACCCCTTGAGTTGATCATAATTTTTTGGATTCATTAAAAGGGAAATTAGGAGGTCTCACAAATACATCGATGCTTGAATTTTTTGAAATAAAAATTTAAATATTGAATATTGAAATATCTTGCTTCGGCAACGTTTCCTTGTAGATTGTGTTAACGCGTGCACTAGAGGGCGCTGTGTACATATTTGAGAATGTGAAATGTGTTACTGGCAGGGGCACCACTGACGAAAGTGAAGAGAGCAAGGTGGGGGTGTTGTCGCGGATGAAAACGAGGGGGTTGGATACTTCATTGGGCCCCAAAATAGTAACTCTGGAGGTCCCAACATGGTGTGGGCCTTTAGATTTGTCTTAGAACAGCCACCGAAAATGAGCAACAACCAGTGACAAATGGCTTCCCTTGAGTTGACCATAATTTGCGAAAGCGTGCAAGTGGGATTTGTTAAAAAGGTAAATTTGGAGGTCTCACAAACACAAAGATGCCCGAATGTAGCTACCCAGCTCTTCGACTCATTGGGAATACGTGAACCGGGCTATGTTTTTGTAAATATTGAAATATCTTGCTCTGGCGAGGTTTCTTTGCAGATTGTGTTGATACACTAGAGGGCGCTGTGTACATTTTTGCAAATGTGAAATACGTCATTGACACCACTGACCAGTACCGGCCCTATGACCACATTCTGGTGTGGGCTGTTGCAGACAAAAGTAAAGGGCGGTGTGGGGGTGTTGTCGCGGACAATAAAAGAGGGGGTTGGATAGTTGATTGGCCCCATGATAGTAACTCTGGGGGCCCCAACACGGTGTGGGCCTTTTGAATCGTCCTAACTCCCCCCCCAGCAGTGCCCATGGTTGAAATTTTTTCACTCATGCCATTTTCACATCCTTCTCATGGAAATAAGTGGGAAGTGCATATATCAGCAACTGACTGAACCACACCCATCGCTAAACCCAACCAATAGTGTTTTCAACAGCAAACTAAACAGTAATGCATTGTAGATTTACTACAATTTCACACTACCTCTTTACCTGTTTTCTGGAATGTCTCCAGAATTGTACCCTGGTCCACTCTGCGTCCTATACCACAATGACCTCAGAAATGAATAACAACCAGTGAAAAATGGCTTCAGAAAAAGACCCCTTGAGCTGCCCATAATTTGCAAAGGCATGCAAGTGTGATTCATTAAAAAGGATATCAGGAGGGCTCACAAATACACCAATGCCCGAATGCTGACCTTGACGTGGTTAACTTTCCCCCCGCTGCGTCCGGGAACAGGACATATGCGATCTTCACCTCTGCCAGCTCACCTACAGGGCCAACAATGCATCTGCCCCCGCATTCACACCTGAAATGATTATACCACGGCTGGAGGAGTGTGATATCGAGAGGAAGAAAGGCAAAAAAAGAGATAGCGAGAGGGGACGGGTGGAAAATGGATGATTTAAGGTCTCTCAAGTAAGCACTTTCCCCTCGTACCCTTTTTTTCTTACCTCTATCCTGTTTTTCTCTCCCGTCTTATTCTCTGTCTTGCTTTTAAAGATGATGAATGGCACGGCGGTGAGAGGCTATTAATCAGGGTGCTGTTATTGAAGAGGTCCTGATAGGGCTTAACATTAGGTGGAAACTATGGCACGGACTTGACACAATGGCACATGTGTAGCTTTTATAGTAATGGTGGCACAAAAACACTTCAGGATACTCGAATACTCTCTACAAAAGGGGTTTTAAATGCACTGAAGAAGAAGAAAAAGATATAGCATACAGGTCAAACTGTGGTCCCTTATGGGATAGAGAACCAGGCCGAATCTGCTGACTTCTCTTCAAGCATTTTCTTTGCTGATGCTAAAATTTGCAAATTGGTTTTAAAGCTAGCATACAGAAGTATTATCCAATTACATTTAATGGGGGATGATTTTTGTGGAGCTCTGTAGAAACACATTGTTCCATTTCATAGTTGAATAAAAGTGACCAGGAATTAATAACTCTGCCTTATTTGCATCAGGGCTTCATTAGCATATGATTAGCATATGTGGAGTTGACAAATAAGCAGTTTTTTTTTGTAAAAAAGCATTTTTTGAGGAAATTGTTATATTTATGTAGTTTTAAGTTGGGAAAAAATACATTTTTTAAAAACTTTATATTGAATTAAAACTTAAAAAAATGTCTTATAGTGTAACTTAGCCAACGTTAAGAAAAGTAACTCTTAATTTAACTCTTAATAGAGTGTGTGTGTGTGAAGTCTCAGCTCTTAATACCCCACACATAATGTTTAACTCTTTGCAGCTCCCCCTATTAGGCTTTGATCCTAACTGTGCCGTTTTGGTGACTGTCGCATTAAATTCAAACTAGATGTTATCGTTTGAGAACAAACTTTATGGTGGCTTGAGAAAGCCAGTTGAAAGTAGTTTACTTGGATGTATATTATATAAATAATGTTAAAAATCCACGCAGTCAACAATGCAACCACTTTAAAGACTTTAGCCAACACTACAGCAGGCCAGTAAACAGCTTTGAAGTTGAGCACGGTGACTGTGGTAGGTAATAGCATGATTCTATCTTGAATTAGCATGATTCTAGCATAAATTAGCATGTTATTAACGTGAATCTAGCATGAATCAGCATGTTTTTTTAGCATTAAAAAAGCATGTTGCTAATGTAACCCCCTCCAGTCCTACAACACTCAACCCGCTCTCAGCTGGGATCGAACCGGCCACCTTCCACATGGGAGCTTAACATGTTGTTAACATGCTTCTAGCATGAATTAGCATGTTGTTGGCATGATTTTTGCATGTAGTAGCATGTTAAAATGTTTCTAGCATGACTTAGCATGTTGTTGGCATGATTCTTGCATGTATTAGCATGTTAACATGATTCTAGCATGATTTAGCATGTTGTCCCTGCTAAAAAATCCAGCTTAAACCAGC